CGCGACTACCTTGTCAAGCAGGGTGTTACGTCTACCACCCAGCTTTGAGGGGGGGAAGTGTTAGAGTACGACCCCGTTACACTATTTTCCCCTTTCCATATTTCCTTTCTATTTCATTCCTCTTTTTATCCTCATTCATTTGGTCTTTATCTCATCTCATTTGGTTTCCTATTCCTCCTTTTCCATTATCCTTTGGTTTATCCTATTATTATGATTATATCACCGACCAGGCTCGGGATGTACTGGCGCGCTATATCTAGCGTAATCCTGCCGTAATCCCTTAAAGCCAATAGCCTCGCGTGGCTATACGCAGGGTGATTCTATTTCTAGAAGGGTCTATTCCCTTTGGATAGGATAAACCTGGTTACCTGATGTATTCTGGAAGTATAAAAGCACCTTGTACTGATTGATAGTGCAACATTGAACATTGAGCAAACCTTTCCTCGGGACATTCGCTCCTGTGACAGTCGGGATGTCAAGGGCGTCTGGGTAACCCTCAGGGGCTAGCAGCATGGAGCAGAGATGAGGAGCGGCCTCGGACAGGAAAGCTAGCTCGTGCTGCCGGTGCTCTAGGACGTCACTATCAAGGGCAGGTGCACCCCTGACGGACAGAGGACGGGCAAGCGGTGGCGTATTCAAGGCGGCGGGTAGAGGCAAAGTCAGCAACGGCAGCGACAAGAGCCGATAGACTGGAGACATGAACAGACGGGTCGGTAACAAGGGAAGCAAGGGCACAAGGGGCAAGATGACAAGCAGCACAGAGGAAGTCAGAGAAAGAAGGCAGGGAGACAGCGAGGGACGATTAAGGAGGCAACGTGAGAAGAAGAGCAGGAGGAGCACGAGACGCATGAGAATGAAGAGACACAGAGTGGATACTCAGAGTGGGAGAGACAGGACGAGCACGAGAGGGACAGTGAGACCACCAGCGAGAGGGGGGCGTGGGGTTAGGAGACAAGGGAGGAGACACAGGAGGAGAACGAGGGGGGAAATGAGCCGGGGACGAGTTCAGCGGAGGGAACACCGGGTCGTAGATAGGCAAAGGGGGCGGCGTCGGGGGAGGCGCAGGCGGGCGGTCGGAAGAGGGAAGGTCGAGAAGGCGAAGGATGGACACTGGCGGCAACTGCTTCTGCTGCTGCGGCTGCTGCTGCTCCGTGCCCACACCAGGACATCAAGCCGCACCTCCGCCACCTCCAAGTTTCTCCACGATAGCACCCCCAGCACCAGCACCCACAGAACCAGCATATGAACCCTCCTCAAGGTCAGCACTCCCAGTGTCAACACCCCCAGATCCCGCAGGCCCCTGCTGCGGCAGCGGCGGCGGCGACTGCTGCTGCGGCGGCGGCGGCTGCTGCGGTGATTGCTGTTGTGGCGGCCAAGGAGACAGCGGGGCCGAGAGTGCAGGTGCCGCAGAAATAGGTGGCTCACTGTCACGTGATCGAAAATGGTCGAGAGAAACTTGCACTATCGTTCGATACAAGGCGCTTTTATACTTCCAAGGTACACTAGGTAACCAGGTTTATCCTATCCCAAGGGAATAGACCCTTCTAGAAATAGAATCACCCTTTTGTATAACCACGCGGGGCTATTGGCTTCAAGGGATTACGGCAAGATTACGCTAGTTATAGTGCACCAGTGCATCCCGTGCCTGGTCGATGTTGGGTACCCATATTTTCATTGAGCCTTTCCGGTACACCACATCACGGTCCCATTGTAGCATGTGACGTTTTTCTACCAAGGGAATTTCGGGGTCGATGGTGTAGTTGTGAGTGAAGAGTCCCTTGAGCAGCAAGTGCATCCCTTCGACCTCGATAGTGGCAACGTGTGCAGGCCGGCTGAGAGCGTCTACTTTGTTTTTGTGGCCGGGCTTGTACACGATGTCCTAGTGGAAGTGCGTCTCGAGGAAGTCAATCCACCGGACCTGCCGCCTGGAAAGGGTTGGTTGTGTCTTCAGATATTTCAGGCTGCACGGGTCGGTGTAGACGGTCGTTGTGCGTCCTTCAAAATAACATCTCCGCATTTTGAAGGCGATGTCAATAACAAGGGCCTCTTTTGTGAGATTGAGTGAACTTCAAAAAGTTGATTAGGAAGGACAGCACACAGACTTACATAGGAATGAGAAGGAAAGGAGAAGCGAGGGGGGGGGGGGGGGGGCGGGTTTGCTGGTTGGATCCCTATGCCAACCCCAATAATGTTGGCTTGAGTGGCCAGAATTATTGGGGGGGCCAATAATTGGGAACCCAACCTGTTGGGGGCCAATGATGACAAGGATGGGAACCCAACTTTGGGAGCTCAATCCCAACTAGGGTGGTTAACCCTAGTTTACACCCAACACTAATCAAAACCCGTTATGTCTATCCAAACAATCTAGTATATGCACGATAAGAATAGAGAGATATTCTAACATCTTTGTCATGTATCGGGTAATTTAGTTATGCCGTGTGCAATTCCCCTGGTCTTGCATCAAGACTGCTCCCACTACCTGGTCACTGGTGTCAGCTTCGATGACGTAGTTGCGTTCAGGGTCTGGCAAGATGAGTACGGGTGCGGATGTGAGTGCCTGTTTCAGCTGCTACATGGCTTCCTGATGTTTTGTCTCCCATTGATAGGGCATGTTCTTCTTCAGCAGATTCGTAAGTGGTGCAGCAATCTTCGTGTACTGTGGCATGAATCTGTTGTAATAGTTGGAAAAGCCTAGGAACTGCTGCAATTCCTTCACGTTCTCGGGTGTCTTCCACGTGCGTACGGCTTCGATTTTCTTGGGGTCGACGTGAACTCCTTGAGCGCTCACCATGTGTCCGAGGAATTGGACCTTCTCGAGGACGAACTCGCTCTTGGACAATTTGACGTAGTAGCGTTCCCATCCAAACGCGTCGCAGGTGTTCGACGCGCTGCTTCATGTCGCACGAGTAGATGAGAATGTCGTCCAGGTACACCACCACGCACTCATCCAATAATGGTTATAGAATGTGGTTCACCTCGAATTGGAAGGTTGCCGGTGCGTTGGTAAGTCCGAACGGCATGACCAGATACTCACACGACCCATACCAAATTCAGAAGGCAGTTTTGTGGATGGAATTTTCCGCCATTCTTATTTGCCAGTATACGGACCGCATATCTAGTTTGGAAAATACCGTGGCTCCCCGAAGCTGGTCCAGTAGGTCATCGATTAGTGGATTCAAGTATTTGTTCTTGATGGTATGCTTGTTGAGAGCTCGGTAATCGATGCACATGCGCAGGCTTTCTTCCAGTTTCGGTGTGAAGGGTACTAGGGCACTGTATGGTGAAGTGGAGGGATGGATGAGTCCTTTTTCAAGGAGATACTCGATCTGTTTCTTCATGTTGGCTAGCTCCGTAGGGCTGGGCCGATATGGTGTTCGGAAGGTCGGCTTCGAACCTGGTTCCTCCACGATTTTGTTTTGGTGCGTTCAGTAGGTCGTCGCGAAGAATGTCTTGGAATTCCTTCAGTAATTCCTTGATTTTTTTTAGAGGTTCCGAGGCTTCCACTTCGGCGTCTTCAACATCTATTGCTATCGCCAGGAACTCGGTGTTAGTTCGTCTCACGTTCTTCTCGAATCTGACGAGTGTCTCCACTGGAATTTCTCCTGTGTCGTCCTAGCGTGGTAGTCTGACTCTCCTTTTGTTGTTGTTATTTTTTTCTACGGTTGACCCAGTTGATCTCAGGGTTGAATTTCTTGAGGAAGTCTTGCCCGAAGATCAGGTCAAGCCCTTTTATGTTGGTAATGGGGAGGTGGGTCTCTAACGCAATGGTCCGATATGTAGGTGTAACACTGCTTCACCGTAGACTGATAGCTTGCTGCCGTCCACCATCATTGCAGAGAATGTTCAAGGCTTGCCCTCTTCCCGAAGTCGGTCGATTTCTGCCTTGTCGCATATGGTGTGTGACGCACCACTGTCCACAAGTGCTTGGAGGCATCGCCCTTTGCAGATGACCTCGAGCATGAGGGGCCCGCGTTGCTCGGAGTACCCAAAGATAGTTTTATTAATAGGATCATAGGGTACATCATAATATTCCGTTCACACCTTGTAATTGCTTTCTATCTCTGAGCTGGCAGCTGGCCGAGGCTGCTTGGAGAAAGGCTCTTCTCCAGGGCCCGGAGTTTCCTTGACGACTGTGTGTGTCGTCGATGCCGAAGTTGCTGAGCTGGATGCATCCAAAGGAGGAGTTCGGGGCTTTTGCATCTTCTTGTAGACCCTCAACTTCCTCTTGAGTTTCTTCAGCTCCAACGACGTCTTCCCTTGGGAGCGGGTAGTCGCTATGGGCTGGTGTCGGGAGGGGACATTGACTCCGTGGAAGGGTCGGCTTCTTTCCACACTTCATATTTTTTTCCCCAAGGTCTCCGCTATCGATAGAATCTCCACAATTCTCTGCTTCTTCTGGAGTCCCTTTCAAATTTTCTCCAAGGCTATAGACACTCGAGAATCATATGCTTTCATTAATGCATCTTTATAAGATAAGTTTAACGAATCCTTATAGTTTCTTGGGCCTTCAAGGAGTTTCCCTGTCTCGGCAGAGTGTTCTTTGAAGGTGATGATAATAGCAAGGGCCTCTTTATCATGTATCGGATGTATCGGTTAGTTTAGTCCTGCCCCGTGTAATTTCTTGCTAAGGTAGGCGATTGGTTGCAGTCCATTCCCTTGGTCTTGCATCAAGACTGCTCCCACTACCTGGTCACTGGTGTAAACTTCGATGACGTAGTTGCGTTCAGGGTCTGGCAAGATGAGTACAGGTGCGGATGTGAGTGCCTGTTTCAGCTGCTACACGGCTTCCTGATGTTTTGTCTCCCATTGATAGGGCGTGTTTTTCTTCAATAGATTCATGGGTGGTGTTGCGATTTTCGCGTACTGTGGCACGAACCTGTTGTAATAGTTAGCGAAGCCTAGGAATTGCCGCAACTCGTTCACGTTCTCGGGTGTTTTCCACGTGCGTACAGCTTCGATCTTCTTGGGGTCGACGTAAACTCCTTGAGCGCTCACCATGTGTCCTAGGAATCGGACTTTCTCAAGGTCGAATTCGCTCTTGTCGAAGAATTTCGAAGACGCGTCGCAGGTGTTCAACGTGCTGCTTCATGTCGCGCGAGTAGATGAGAATGTCGTCCGGGTACACCACCAAACATTCGTCCAAGAGTGGGCGTAGAATGTGGTTCATATCGGCTTGGAATGTCGCCGGTGCGTTGGTGAGTCCGAACGGCATTACCAAATTCTCGTACGATCCGTACCGAGTTCGTTAGGTAGTTTTGTTGATGAAATTGTCCGCAATTCTTATCTGCCAGTATCCGGACCGCATGTCTAGTTTGGAGAATACCGTCGCTCCCCAAAGCTGATCAAGCAGGTCATCGATTCGTGGAATCGGGTATTTGACAACGCCTCCTCACTCCCCCCCACCCCACCCGTTTGGTGTGGCCCGAACCCCCCCCTGCCGCCCTCTAGCACTCCCCTTACCACACACACTGCACCTGTTGGGGCTCTCTGGCCCAATAACACGCCCTCTCACCCCTCATCTTCTGCCTTCCCCCCTCGCCCCTATCCTGCCCCTTCCGTGTGCCGCCACCTCGCCCAATCTCCCTCCCACTTCGAGCTGCTCCTGCCATGCTGGCCCTACCTTCCTCCCCCCTTCCCTTCTTGCTTGGCAGTGAATGCAAGACCAGCAGTACGCCCTCACCACCTGTCCCTCTCCTCTCTCCACCGGTCGGACCCCTCGGACCTGGGCTCGTGCCCTCTTACCGCTCCCCCCTTGCCTCTCCCCTCACCCCCCGGCCCTTGTGTTGCCCACCGCGTGCCTGGCCCCCTCGGCCACCGTACCGAATGTCTGTTTCAGCCCCTATCCCGAATGTCTTTACCTGTCCGCCCCCAACCCAAGTGCTTGTTGCAACCCGCCCTCCCCCCTGCTGGGTCCCCCACCGCGCTGCCCCCCTCCCATCAGCACCCGCCGAGGCCCCCCAGTCTGAGCCCGTGGCCTCTCATTGCTCCTCCCCCGCCTTCCCCCCTCCCCCACGCTTCACGTGCCGACCCTCGCAGGTATCGCTACCACGCCCGCCTTGCCTTTCAAATCCTGCGGCCCTGGCTCTGCTAGCCCTCTACTCCCCCCCCCCCCCCCCCCGGTCCCTCGTGTCTGTCTCTGCATGGCCCCACTGCCGCGCACCTGAACCTGCTGCACCCTTCCTCCCCTCTGTTGGTGCAACCCTGTGGCTTGCACTCGGCTTGTCGTCCTTGTTTGTGTGTGTGTGTGCATGCATGGCATGGAATGAATTCTGAGTCTATGTCATTGCTATCCAGTGCTTGTTTGTGTGTTTGAATGGTGTATCACAATATGGTTTGTGTCGGTCAAGACATTAGCGAGTTTTTACAATTCGCATGTCAAGTCGTCGTTTGCGTGTCGCATGTGTTTTTTCTATTTTGTCGAGTGTGAAGTGTCCATCGCGTCGCACGTGTGTGCAGCAAGCCCCATCAACTCAAGAAGAATTTATCTTGCAGATCCAAGACCAAGAGCTCAAGATTTCAAGCCCAAGGGACGCGGATAAATATTAAATAGTGAAAATAGTAATGCTACTTCGTGTAGTGTTACATTTCACTTGGTGTAGCCCCTTGGAGGGTTGGTTTCGAGACTCTTCGTGGTTGGGGACTCTGTAGTGGTGTACCACCAACCTGGACCTCGGCTCTTGGGGTATGTAGAGGCTGGGAACCATCTCCATCTCGAACTCTTCTTGCTAAGTTTGTACTCCTAAGACTTTAGTGGCTGCTGTACCTCATGCCAGTCAAACCGCCATAGCATCATCAAAACTTCATGGAATTTTATGATTCAACTTGCTGCTGATAGGCGACAGCAAAGCGCTCTAGATCCAATTTACAGATCACCGTTTGAGATAGACATCAGTTCGGCATCATTATTTGAAGCTGTCTGACGGAATTCTGACTGTGCACAATTTCTCTCATTTTTGGCACATATGAGCCTATTGTGATTATAACAAGTGGTATCAGAGCCCCTTGGAGCCATCTCGACCATGCCTAGACCTGGGGAAGAGGGTGGCAGAGGTGCTGGAGGCAGAGAAGACGCCCAAGCACAAGGTCAACACCAAGATCCACCCGTTGCTCCGGTGCAACCTAGCCTTGGCCCCTATAGGGATGAGCCTAGAGTGTTTGGCCTTGACAAGTTCAACGGTGACAACTTTGCTGAGTGGTCTTTCAAGATGGAGAACATCTTTGACCACTATGATCTGCTAGAGGTGATGGAAGTAACGGAGAAGAGCCCCGAGAACGACCCGGAGAAGAGCCCTTGGGTGCGGAAATTCTTGGACTTGTTGACACGGCTCGAAGGAGCTGATCTGAACTACAGTGACCTTCAAAAGAAGACCAAGCTGCTGGCCTTACTTCTGAACTCATGGTCCTCGCTCATCCTCAACCTAAATCGAGATCTGCCCCATCTCTCACTCGAAGATATGAAGCGGGAAATCTTACAAGAAGATTTCCGCCGTCGCGAATTGGCGGGTCCCGATGGTGCCGGAGTTGCAAGCATGGGCCGTGGGCACGGCCGTGGAAGGGGCAGAGGGCGAGGAGGAAGATTTGGCAGCAGTAACTTCAGTGGAGGCCGTGGTAATCGAGGATATGGCAGCAACAACAACAACAATGGCTACGGGCGTGGGCGCGGTCGATTTGATGGCGAATGCCACTTTTGCCACAAGACCGGCCACATGTGGAGAGATTGCTTCAGATTGCCTGATGGATGGACCCCTTCTCAAGGCCAAGAGTGCAGAGGAGCAAGGGGAGGAAGAGGCAGAGGTCGTGGAGGATGTGGTGGCCGTGGAGGCGAAGCGGCAAGCATGAAAGGTGGAGACTACGACAAGGACTCGAGTGAAGATCGATACCCGGGCCAATTCTTCTTTGTCTCCACGCAAGCGGCAGCTGCAGCAGGAGGTGTGGATGGATTTGAGGAGCCAGCTACTGTGGGAAAGGTCACCCTTCACTCTCTGGACTTTTGGGTGATCGATAGCGGCGCCACCTATAGCATGACACCTCGTGCGGACTTGCTCACCGAACTCGAACCGTCGCCGGTCAAGCATGTTACATCGGCTTTGGGGCAGCGAGCAGAGGTGAAAGGCAAGGGCAAGGCCATGTTCAAGGTTGCTGATGGGAAGATGGTGGGCCTCAAGAACGTGCTTTGGGTGCCCAACCTAGCAGCCAACCTGATCTCTGTTCGGCGTTTGCAAAAGGCTGGCATGGACACATCTTCCAAAGGCTCCAAAACATATACCGCGAGGCTTGGTGAGCGGAAGCTTTGGGACCTTCATGAGGACAGGGACATCTACAATGAGATGTGGCAAATCCCAGTGGTCCCCATGCCTAAGGGGAGGCAAGTGGCAGCAAGCGTCAGCACCAAGAGTGAAGCGGTTGGTGGCGATGATCACGGAAAACAAAGTGACACCAAGAGTGACTCGAAGGAGTGCAACCTTGGAGAGACCAGCAAGGCGTGTGAACCCAAGGAGAGTGGTGCAGCAGCCAAAGGTGGTGGAAATGAGGAGGAGAAGCCTAAGATCAGCAAAGCAGCAGCGGCGAAGGAGAAAGGAGAGAGCTTGTGGGGCACGATTGCGAGTGCCGCTTTCTCCAACCCGACTTCCGCTACGGGAGAGTGTGATTGGCTGATCTTGCATCGGCGAATGGGGCATGTGGCGTTGCCCATTTTGCAGCAGATAGTTAAGCAAGAGATGGTCAGTGGGATACGTGTCAAGGGGGAGCCGAATGAGGTGCTTGGCTGTCCAACATGCATGCAAGCCAAGTTCACCTGCTACCCGTTCCATAGCTCGGAGACAACGGCGAAGGCACCACTTGATGAGGTGGTGATGGATGTGGTGGGCCCCTTGAAGCTTGGAGCTGCTGGAGCTGAGTACTTCCTCACCATTGTGGACGTCTACACTGGCATGACTTGGGTGTATGTGCTGCCCAAGAAGAGTGACGTAGCTGAAACGGTGAAGACCGATTGGTTGCCGATGGTGGAGCGGCAACAAGACCGGCTTGTGAAGGAGATTCGCACAAACCGTGGGGGAGAGTTCCTCAGCAAGGACTTCACAACTTGGCTGAAGAAGCAGGGCATAAGGCACTCTCTTACCATGCCCTACTCTCCTGCAATGAACGGCATCGCGGAGCGTGCGAACCGGACACTCACGGAGACGGCTCGGGGACTTCTCATTGAAGCCGCTCTTCCCAATTATTTTTGGCCAGATGCGGTGCGGCATGCTTGTGTGGCCAAGAACAGAGCCTTGACTCACGTGGGAGAAGAAAAATGGGTGCCCTATGTGGAGTGGATTGGAAGGAAGCCAAAGGTGGATATGCTTCGAGTGTTCGGGTGCATGTGCATGGCACTTGTGCCTAAGAAACTTTGGCACAACAAGCTTGATGCCAAGGCAACATGGGCCGTGCACCTGGGTATGGCTCAAAACAGCAAGGGATGGCTTCTTTGGGACCCATTTACCAAGAACTTCTTGGTGAGCAGAGATTGCAAATTCATGGAGAACTTACCGTACAAGGAGTGGAAGGCGGAGAATCAAGCGAAGATTGGTGTGCGGCTTGGAGAGGTGAAGAGTACCGGCTTGGAGCATGTGGAGCTGCCCTTGGAGCTGAGTAGCAGCAGTACAATCACGAGGCAATCTCCTCAAATGAATGGGGATGAGGAGGAGGAGGAGGTGCAGCAAGATGATGAGCGTGCACCGTCACTTGCGCCTCGTGCTACAAGTGCTCGTGGGAACCGACCAGATTTACCGCAACGCCATGCGAGCATTCAAGTCCCTGCAGCACAGGAGGAAGGAATGGGGAGAAGGAGGACTCAGCCCCCTAATAGGTTGAGCTATGACCGGCTTGGAGGACCAGCCAACTCAACCTTGACCGGTTCGGCTCTCATGTTAGGCGATGATGCGGAAGATGAAAGCAAGGAGTGCGCCTTTGCCTTCTTCTCTCCGGTGGAGATGCCGGGGGAGCCTACAAATCCCAAGGAGGCTTGGGAGGGCCCCAATGGGAAGGAGTGGAAGAAGGCCTCAGATGAAGAAATGGGGAGCATCATAGAGAACGACACATTTGACGTGGTGAACCTACCTCCGGGGCAGAAGACGATTTCTTCCAAGTGGCTCTTCAAGCGCAAGACCGACGCCGACGGCAACATCGAGCGCTACAAGAGCAGAATTGTAGCCAAGGGGTATCAGCAGCAAAAGAAGAACGACTACAATGAAGTGTATGCCCCTGTGGTGAAGGGTACAACCCTTCGAACCCTCTTCGCCGCTGCGGCCATCAAAGAATGGGTGGTGAAGCAAATGGATATAGTAACGGCCTTCCTCAACGGCCGATCAATCCCTGTTCATGCTTGGCGAGGCGGAGCAGAGGAGCTTCATAGTGGTTTATGTGGATGACATCCTCATATTCTCACCCTCCTCTGACCTTGTGAAGGATGTGATGCTGAAGCTTCAAGACAAGTTCAAGTGCAAGACCCTTGGTGACGTCAACTACTACCTTGGGCTTCACATTGAGCGAGATGTGGAACAGCGGTGGATGCGAGTGCATCAAAAGAAGTACTTAGAGGCCTTGGCTGCAAACTTTAGGAAGAGTGAAGAACATGTGGCTACTCCTCTTCCCTCAGGGTTCAAGTGTGTGAAAGGACCAGCGGAGGAAAGTGTTGGTGAAGAGGAGAGGCGCCGTTTTCACTCCTTGGTGGGCAGCCTCATGTATGCGGCCGTTCACACAAGGTCGGATGCAGCCTTTGCTACCGGGCAGCTGGCTAGGGTTGTCCAATGCCCTAATGAAGAGCAGGTAGCAGCTGGAGAGAGAGTTGCCTAGTAGCTTGGCCAAACAGCAACTGTTGGACTGCAATACTCTGCGCCGGCACAAAGGCGTCAAAAGGGTGTGGATGGAGTCGAACCCGGGAGGCTCTTTCTCACCGCTTTCTCTAATGCATATTGGGCATCAGAACCAAAGGATATGACAAGTGTGGGAGGCTTCATCTGCTGTGTTGGTGGAGGCCCAACGGCTTGGGAGAGCAAGAAACAAGTGGACCAAGCATTGAGCTCGGTGGAGTCCAAGTACATGGCACTCTTCCGTGCCATAAGAGAGGTTGTGTGGCAGCGGCGTTTGCTAGCTGAATTGGGGGAGGAGCAGCAAGGACCTACCCCAATCTATTGTGAAGGCCAAGGTGCTATTGCATTGGCTAAGAACTCCATACTTCATGGCCTTACCAAGCACATGAAGGTGAAATGGCATTGGGTGAGGAGCATGGTAACCTCGGGTGAAGTGGAGTTGCACTACGTGAAGACGACAGCGCAGCCAGCTGACATGATGACCAAGAGGCTGGTTGAGCAGCAGCATTGGAAGAGTTGCAAGCTTGCTGGGATGGCTCTGAACTAAGGGGAGCAGATTCTAAGGCCAACAATCCGAGGGGGAGTTTGTTGGTGCAACCCTATGGCTTGCACTCGGCTTGTCGTCCTTGTTTGTGTGTGTGCATGCATGGCATGGAATGACTTGTGAGTCTATGTCATTGCTATCTAGTGCTTGTGTGTGTGTTTGAATGGTGTATCACAATGTGGTTGTGTCGGTCAAGACATTAGCGAGTTTTTACAATTCGCATGTCCAGTCGTCGTTTGCGTGTCGCATGTGTTTTTTCTATTTTGTCGAGTGTGAAGTGTCCATCGCGTCGCACGTGTGTGCAGCAAGCCCCATCAATTCAAGAAGAGTTTATCTTGCAGATCCAAGACCAAGAGCTCAAGATTTCAAGCCCAAGGGACGCGGATAAATATTAAATAGTGAAAATAGTAATGCTACTTCGTGTAGTGTTACATTTCACTTGGTGTAGCCCTTTGGAGGGTTGGTTTCGAGACTCTTCGTGGTTGGGGACTCTGTGGTGGTGTACCACCAACCTGGACCTCGGCTCTTGGGGTATGTAGAGGCTGGGAACCATCTCCATCTCGAACTCTTCTTGCTAAGTTTGTACTCCTAAGACTTTAGTGGCTGCTGTACCTCCTGCCAGTAAAACCGCCATAGCGTCGTCAAAACTTCATGGAATTTTATGATTCAACTTGCTGCTGATAGGCGACAGCAAAGCGCTCCAGATCCAATTTACAGATCACCGTTTGAGGCTCAGATCAGTTCGGCATCATTATTTGAAGCTGTCTGATGGAATTCTGACTGTGCACAATTTCTCTCATTTTTGGCACATCTGAGCCTATTGTGATTATAACACCCTCCACCTGCCGGGCCATCCAGGACCGCGGCCCAATACCCCTTCCTTTCCCCTCATGCTCTGCCCCCCTCCCTCCTCCCCCTCTGCTGCCCTCGTGCTCAGCTTCCCCGCCCTCCAAGCCCACCTATTTCTCTCGCTCTGCTGGCATGTGCTCTTCCTCCCCTGCCGCATTTGTTTGGCGCTGCTCACCCCTCCACCAATCTCCCACCCACACTCTGGCCATCCCATCTCTCTGTGCTTCCCCCTTCTGTCAGACTGCCCCATTCCTCGCGTCTCCCAAGGGTCGCTGCCCTCTGCCCCCCAGCCGCGCACCCAAAAGCCATGCCACCCCGACCACCCCACCGGTCGCCCCCCCCCTGTCTGGTTCTTATGCCTACTCTGCTCTCCATGCCTGCCTGTCCTCCTCTCCCCCCCCCTCAGGTAAAATCCTCGGGGCGCACGCCGCTCCTAATGCCTTCAAAAACGACTCTGGCCAGCTCTACATTAGTGTCGATGCGGAAGTCGAAGCTTGGACCTGCACCATGTGTGAGTTCGTTTGCGGTGCCGCACTCGACAGTGCTATGGCGCACCTCAACTTCCCCTCTCACGCATCCCGCCTACGCGAGTCAACGCTCCTGCCGGCGGCCAAGGACAAGTTCGTTTCCTGGAGCGCCCACACTCTCCTCCAGACCCCGTAGATTGCTGCCTTTTTGAAGTAGTAACCACCCTTAGCCTGGCACACCATGATGGTAGCTTACATACGGCTACAGGCAACCTTCCGCCAACCTTTGTCTCACATATCCCTGCTCTTCATGGAATACTCAACTGTGATTGTGGATTGCTTGGCAACCTGCCCAGGCTTAACCCTCCTGCCCATCCCCTTGGATGCACGCGCCTCGGCCGTGGGGGGACTTACTCAAGCTGCTATGATTAGCACACTCCGTGTCGTATGCTTAAATGTAAACGGACTCAGCCAAACGCACAAAATGGACGCACTTAAGCGATGGGTCTATGCTCAACCCAATAAAATTGATGTCCTCATATTAATTGATACTAGGCTAACTCTCAACTTCAACACCCACATGTACAAGCTCCATCCCACCGCACACGCCCAGGTTCCTCCACCCTCTCCCGCCCCACGCAACTCCCCCCGGGGGATTGCTGTCCTTATCTTCAATAGGCTTGCCGGCATCTCCAGCCAATCCCACTCACCAGATGGCAGACTTTTCTCAGTACACATCGACTATCTGCAAGAACAAATCCGACTCCTTGCCATCTATGCCCCCCCGGCCACAACGGATGCACATATCTGGTGGCATACCATCCTCGATCCTGCCTTAGCCATGCCCTCCGCATGCACCGATACGCTTCTCGCCGACGATTTCAACGCAGTCGATCCGGCAGTAGACAGAAACCGGCCCCTCCAAGGCCATGAATAGACCGAGCTCAGCATACTCCAATCGCTAATGCACTCCCACGACCTCCTTGACACCTTTCGAGCACACCACCCCAATAATAGCCTCTTCTCATATTTCGGGCGTCCCAGTCACGCACTTCCCAATGCGCCGCTCCTGGCATCTCTTATCGATCGTATCTATGTCACCTCCCCACTACTAGCCCAAGTATGCACTGCTGCGTACGTGCACACCCCTGCTGCAGTGTCCGACCACGCTCTCGGTCCTACTTGCGAGCTCGGTTTCCTCGATCGCACCATGGCCCCAAGACCCTGGCGTCTCAGTACTTCCCTCCTCAAGCGCCCTTTCATCGCCCAGATCGCCCTGGCTGCATGCCAAACCCTCCCCGCCGCCCCCTCCCCCGCAGAATGGGATACCTGGAAATTCAAACTCAGCAACCAACTCAAGCAATCCGCAAGCCAGGAACTGCGTTGCGTTACAGAAACCACGACCTTATTACAAAACCGCATTTGCCAC